GGGAGGGGGAGGGGCTCACATTGGAGGGCGGCGCGGGGCACCGGAGCGTGGAGGCGCGAGATCATGGCGCGGCGGGAGGGTCCCGCGTCCCCGCCGCGGCCACCGGGAGGCGGAGCGGTGATCGCCGCCGCGGCGAGGGATCCGAGGGCGGCGGCGGCGAGGGTTTCGGCGCGGTGGAGGAGGAAGGAGAGGGGAACGTAGCAGCAGTGGTATTTTGGTGCCTCCCCCCTCTCTCTCTCTCTCTCCCCCCCTTTTGTCTTCTTTTTTTCCCCTTGGCTTTTACGCTTTCATCGTGCGTGCGCTCGCTTTGAGCTTCAACCAGGCCCTTTTGTACTATCCAGTGCTGCAACCGGGCCGGGCCGGGACGGGTGTGCTTTTCTCGACTGCGGCTTCCTTTTCCTGCGAGCGGGGATGAGCGGCGACGCCCCGTCTCGGTCCGAGCGAACCGAAAACACGGTCCAACGCACCGATGTAGATGAACGGATGTTTTTTTGTCCATTGCGATTCAGAGCGATGCCCCGCCCATGTCCTCCTCCGTCCCGTCTGTTGGTGGCACAACGACGATTATTCTCCACTTACCCCTCCTTACTCGTTCCCTCGCCCTCGCCGCCGCCACCAAGCTCCGGCCGCGACGACGCCTAGGCACAGCCGTCGCATCCACCAACCTATTCACCGCCGCCGCGTCCACCGAAGCCGGCATATGTGTCTGCTCACCATCGTCGTCGTAGCAAGAAAAGGGACGCATGTCAAGGGTCGTCGACACCGCCCTCACCTCCACGGGCACCACCGGAGGGCGTAGACGTCGACTGGCATGCTACCCTTGACCAATCGCGGCTCTACCACGCCCAACTCCATTGTCGCGGGAAATGTGTTCGGCCCTTTGCCCACAAGGTACCATGGCCGATAGTGATGATGAGTTTTTTTCCAACAACATCATATGTTCATCGGATGATTCATCGCCGGAAGATGAGGACTTTATGGTTGCTACTATGGTTGTTAATGAGCACATTTCTAGGATGCGGTCAATGTTTAGGTGGTCAATCCAGGGCCATGCTCTGGCGTTGAATCGTAATAGAGAGAGTGGTCATTGCCTACTCTATAGCTATTATTTTCATTGCAAGTCTCCGCTCTACAATGCCAAGCTTTTTCGGCGACGCTTCTGGATGGCTAGGCATATGTTCAACCGTATTCAAGAGGGAGTGATGGGGTATGATGATTACTTTAGATGCAAGAATAATGCCCTCGGAAGGGTTGGCTTCGTCTCTTATCAAAAATGCACTTCAGCTATCCGAATGATTGCATAAGAAATTTGCGGTGATCTTGTGGATGAGTATGTTCACATGAATGAGTCCTCATACCTTGTATCATTTGTATAGGGTGTGCAAAGTCATGGTTGCAGTGTTTGGCTCGGAGTACTTGAGAGAACCAAATGTGGCGGAAACAGCCCGGTAGTTAGCGATCAATGAATCTAGCGGCTTTCTAGAAATGCTTGGTAGCATAGGTTGTATGCACTAGAAGTGGAAGAACTATCCATTTGCTTGGCGAGGGCGGTATAAGGGGCATGTTAAAACTTGTACAGTCATACTTGAAGTTGTGGCATCACAAGACCTCTGAATTTGGCACTCTTTCTTCGGCATGGCAGGTTCTTACAATGGCATCACATACAATGCAGAAGGCAATTGACCATAGGTCAACTTGAGATCAATGGCCGCCACTACAATAAGGGATACTACTTAGTCGATGGTATCTATTCTCAGTGGTCAACTCTTGTGAAGACAATCGCCAGACCGGTAGGAGAGAAGCGAGCTAGGTTTGCCCAAGCACAAAAGAGTGCTAGGAAGGACGTGGAGCATGCTTTCGATGTGCTCCAATCTCGATGGGCTATTGTTCGACACCCTGTCAGAACATGGAGCCAACGGAAGATGTGGACTGTGATGACTGCTTGTGTGATCATGCACAATATGATCGTAGAGGATGAGCGTGATGACATCATCTTCGACCAAGGGTTTGATTTCCAGGGTGAAAATATTGAGTCTGGACATGGATCGGCTACGTTCGCACAGTTCATCCAATTCCATTATGAAATGCGTGATTGAAAAACTTATATTCAACTTCAAATGATTGGGTTGAGCATGTGTAGACTCACATATAGCAACCAATAGATATATTGGATGTTTCTTTGTATTTGTGACAATTTTAAATCATTGGTTTGTAAACCATGAGATTTTCATTTGGTTGAAACTATTTATTGTAATATAATAATAATAATTGAAATTTTATTTGTATCCATATGCATAGAATGTAAAATGTTGAAATTTGGACAAATATTGGTCGGGCAAACAAAATGTGTTAGCCGGTTGGCTCACTGCCAGTAAAAACGCAATTAAAGCCAGACGCCGTCCATTCGGACAATCCAAACGAATGAAAACTAGACAAAAGAGGCGTCCATTTGCATCGGCCGGTTGGAGTTGGCCTTATATTCCTCCTTGATCCGCATGGGTGGAGAAGAATCGTGCACGGTTGGATTGGCCTACCACAACTCGTGCACCAAATGGGCCTTAAGGATTTTGATTACGGTCACGCATTCCTATATCTATTCTTTTTAGGTATCTCTACTATCTCTATCTTTACTGTACTTATAAAAAAATAAACATTATCTTCTCTAAATGCACCCTACAAACCCATTTTTATTGTATTAACAGACCCACTAAACTTAATCTAATAGCTAACCTTAATTTAATCTATCCTCTGTGCAATTAGCAATTTGCATTGACAAATGCACCCATGGCGGCAGCGGCACACGTGAGACCGCACATGATATTTTGTGACACAAGGCGTTGGGGCGAGGTCACGGACGACGCACCAGACAAGGAGATATATGTAGCCCGCGGCGGCGGCAGATGCGAGACCGCGAAGAACACGACCGACCGTTGCAGACGGAGGCCAGCATGAGCCGGTGCTGGCTGCCATGACGCACACATAGCCGCTCGCCAAGCTAGCTGGGTGGAAGCCATCATCCAAAGAAATGTCATGCATACTCAAGGGCATGCACGTTGCTCTTCTTCTTCCTTCATGGTAACCTCTCCTTTTTCTAAAACAAGGCAAAAGACATATCATTTTCATTGATAAAGAAGAGGTTTTGTTACACACACCTCATCATATGGCTAAGACAAAACAAATACTCTAGCGGCATTACATTTCTCAAATGCTTGGCGCCCGCAATGGCCTAAATAGACACTTCATCCTTGATGCACCGCATGACAACTGCCACCGGCGCCGCTTTGCTCCTGGAAACTTGAGCATTGCTTCCATTCCAAATTTCCCATCCCACAAGAAGTAACAATAAAGACAAGGCCTTCGCCGACAGCTCGTTGCTAGATATGACCGCATCCCACCCAGATTTTAGCGTGTTGAACAGGAGCCAAGGAGTCGTAGGGATAACAAGTTGAAGCCATGAGAAGACCACATTGCAAATTTGGACAAAGAATCTACATTTGAAGATAATGTGTGCAACAGATTTTTGCACCTGATTGCATAGGGGACATTTGTCGCAATTTGGCCATCCTCTCCTCTCAAGTCTGTCGGCAGTCCAAATTCTGTATGGATAACTAGCCAGGCAAAATTTCACACTTGGGGGGGGGAGCCCATGCCTTCCAGACAGTAACATGCAAGCTTGAGTGTGGGAGACCGCGAAACTACACTATATAAACAGACTTCGCGAAGTAATGGCCATCATTGGTTATCTTCCAAACGATGGAGTCCTTGACACCCGGCTGGATGGTAACGTTTGCAAGCTTCTCCCATAGTGCCAAGAATTGCTGAGGTGCTCAAGAAGGAGAAAATCCGAACCCATGACTAACAACACCTTGCTAAATTAAAAGTTTATTAAAAAACTAACCAGTGGGCAGTAGGACGTGCACGGCGAGGGCGGTCGGTTGGCCATGACTTCTCGGAGGGATCCAAGTCGGTGTCCTGACCGGTCGGCGTCGAGGAGTGGCCCGTCGCAAAAGCTTTTTA